ATATTTGAAGATTTGAACGTTGCGTGTTCAAATCACATCGGGGTCATTGGACTATTTTTGTGTGCACTAACTAGTGCTATTAGAAAATATGTTTTACTGGACCTTAGTGCCTGTGGGCCCTGTGGCGCAACGGTAGCGCGTCTGACTCCAGATCAGAAGGTTGCGTGTTCAAATCACGTCGGGGTCATTGGACTATTTTTGTGTGCACTAACTAGTGCTATTAAAAAAAATGTTTTACTGGACCTTAGTGCCCGTGGGCCCTGTGGCGCAACGGTAGCGCGTCTGACTCCAGATCAGAAGGTTGCGTGTTCAAATCACGTCGGGGTCATTGGGTTCATTTTGTGTGCACTAACTAGTGCTATTAGAGAAAATTGTTTTACTGGACCTTAGTGCCCGTGGGCCCTGTGGCGCAACGGTAGCGCGTCTGACTCCAGATCAGAAGGTTGCGTGTTCAAATCACGTCGTGGGGGCATTGGGTTCAGTTTGTGTGGCACTAACTAGTGCTTTAGAGAAAATTGTTTTACTGGACCTTAGTGCCCGTGGGCCCTGTGGCGCAACGGTAGCGCGTCTGACTCCAGATCAGAAGGTTGCGTGTTCAAATCACGTCGGGGTCATTGGGTTCATTTTGTGTGCACTAACTAGTGCTATTAGAGAAATTTGTTTTACTGGACCTTAGTGCCCGTGGGCCCTGTGGCGCAACGGTAGCGCGTCTGACTCCAGATCAGAAGGTTGCGTGTTCAAATCACGTCGGGGTCATTGGTTCATTTTGTGTGCACTAACTAGTGCTATTAGAGAAATTGTTTTTACTGGACCTTAGTGCCGTGGGCCCTGTGGCGCAACGGTAGCGCGTCTGACTCCAGATCAGAAGGTTGCGTGTTCAAATCACGTCGGGGTCATTGGGTTCATTTTGTGTGCACTAACTAGTGCTATTAGAGAAAATTGTTTTACTGGACCGTAGTGCCCGTGGGCCCTGTGGCGCAACGGTAGCGCGTCTGACTCCAGATCAGAAGGTTGCGTGTTCAAATCACGTCGGGGTCATTGGGCTATTTTTGTGTGCACTAATACTAGTGCTATTAGAAAAATATGTTTTACTGGACCTTAGTGCCCGTGGGCCCTGTGGCGCAACGGTAGCGCGTCTGACTCCAGATCAGAAGGTTGCGTGTTCAAATCACGTCGGGGTCATTGGGTTCATTTTGTGTGCACTAACTAGTGCTATTAGAAAAATATGTTTTACTGGACCTTAGTGCCCGTGGGCCCTGTGGCGCAACGGTAGCGCGTCTGACTCCAGATCAGAAGGTTGCGTGTTCAAATCACGTCGGGGTCATTGGGCTATTTTGTGCACTAACTAGTGCTATTAGAAAAATTGTTTTACTGGACCTTAGTGCCCGTGGGCCCTGTGGCGCAACGGTAGCGCGTCTGACTCCAGATCAGAGGTTGCGTGTTCAAATCACGTCGGGGTCATTGGTTCATTGTGTGCACTAACTAGTGCTATTAGAGAAAATTGTTTTACTGGACCTTAGTGCCGTGGGCCCTGTGGCGCAACGGTAGCGCGTCTGACTCCAGATCAGAAGGTTGCGTGTTCAAATCACGTCGGGGTCATTGGACTATTTTGTGTGCACTAACTAGTGCTATTAGAAAAATATGTTTAACTGGACCTTAGTGCCCGTGGGCCCTGTGGCGCAACGGTAGCGCGTCTGACTCCAGATCAGAAGGTTGCGTGTTCAAATCACGTCGGGGTCATTGGACTATTTTTGTGTGCAATAACTAGTGCTATTAGAAAATATGTTTTACTGGACCTTAGTACCCGTGGGCCCTGTGGCGCAACGGTAGCGCGTCTGACTCCAGATCAGAAGGTTGCGTGTTCAAATCACGTCGGGGTCATTGGACTATTTTTGTGTGCACTAACTAGTGCTATTAGAAAAAATTGTTTTACTGGACCTTAGTGCCCGTGGGCCCTGTGGCGCAACGGTAGCGCGTCTGACTCCAGATCAGAAGGTTGCGTGTTCAAATCACGTCGGGGTCATTGGGTTCATTTTGTGTGCACTAACTAGTGCTATTAGAGAAAATTGTTTTACTGGACAGAAGGTTGCGTGTTCAAATCACGTCGGGGTCATTGGACTATTTTTGTGTGCAGTAACATAACTAGTGCTATTAGAAAAATATGTTTTACTGGACCTTAGTGCCCGTGGGCCCTGTGGCGCAACGGTAGCGCGTCTGACTCCAGATCAGAAGGTTGCGTGTTCAAATCACGTCGGGGTCATTGGACTATTTTTGTGTGCAGTACATAACTAGTGCTATTAAAAAATATGTTTTACTGGACCTTAGTGCCCGTGGGCCCTGTGGCGCAACGGTAGCGCGTCTGACTCCAGATCAGAAGGTTGCGTGTTCAAATCACGTCGGGGTCATTGGACTATACTTGTGTGCACTAACTAGTGCTATTAGAAAAATATGTTTTACTGGACCTTAGTGCCCGTGGGCCCTGTGGCGCAACGCGAGTAGCGCGTCTGACTCCAGATCAGAAGGTGCGTGTTCAAATCACGTCGTGGTCATTGGACTATTTTTGTGTGCACTAACTAGTGCTATTAGAAAAATGTTGCGTGTTCAAATCACGTCGGGGTCATTGGACTATTTTGTGTGCAGTAACATAACTAGTGCTATTAGAAAAATATGTTTTACTGGACCTTAGGGCCGTGGGCCCTGTGGCGCAACGGTAGCGCGTCTGACTCCAGATCAGAAGGTTGCGTGTTCAAATCACGTCGGGGTCATTGGGTTCATTTTGTGTGCGTGAGTAACATAACTAGTGCTATTAGAAAAATATGTTTTACTGGACCTTAGTTCCCGTGGGCCTGTGGCGCAACGGTAGCGCGTCTGACTCCAGATCAGAAGGTTGCGTGTTCAAATCACGTCGGGGTCATTGGGCTATTTTTGTGTGCACTAACTAGTGCTATTAGAAAAATATGTTTACTGGACCTTAGTGCCCGTGGGCCCTGTGCGCAACGGTAGCGCGTCTGACTCCAGATCAGAAGGTTGCGTGTTCAAATCACGTCGGGGTCATGGACTATTTCTGTGTGCACTAACTAGTGCTATTAGAAAAAATGTTTTACTGGACCTTAGTGCCCGTGGGCCCTGTGGCGCAACGGTAGCGCGTCTGACTCCAGATCAGAAGGTTGCGTGTTCAAATCACGTCGGGGTCATTGGACTATTTTTGTGTGCAGTAATATAACTAGTGCTATTAGAAAAATATGTTTTACTGGACCTTAGTGCCCGTGGGCCCTGTGGCGCAACGGTTAGCGCGTCTGACTCCAGATCAGAAGGTTGCGTGTTCAAGTCACGTCGGGGTCATTGGACTATTTTTGTGTGCAGTAATATAACTAGTGCTATTAGAAAAATATGTTTTACTGGACCTTAGTGCCGTGGGCCCTGTGGCGCAACGGGGTAGCGCGTCTGACTCCAGATCAGAAGGTTGCGTGTTCAAATCACGTCGGGGTCATTGGACTATTTTTGTGTGCAGTAACATACTAGTGCTATTAGAAAAATATGTTTTACTGGACCTTAGTGCCCGTGGGCCCTGTGGCGCAACGGGTAGCGCGTCTGACTCCAGATCAGAAGGTTGCGTGTTCAAATCACGTCGGGGTCATTGGACTATTTTTGTGTGCAGTACATAACTAGTGATTATTAAAAAATGTTTTACTGGACCTTAGTGCCCGTGGGCCCTGTGGCGCAACGGGTAGCGCGTCTGACTCCAGATCAGAAGGTTGCGTGTTCAAATCACGTCGGGGTCATTGGACTATTTTTGTGTGCACTAACTAGTGCTATTAGAAAAATATGTTTTACTGGACCTTAGTGCTCGTGGCCCTGTGGCGCAACGGTTAGCGCGTCTGACTCCAGATCAGAAGGTTGCGTGTTCAAATCACGTCGGGGTCATTGGATATTTTTGTGTGCAGTAACATAACTAGTGCTATTAGAAAAATTGTTACTGGACCTTGGTACCCGTGAGCCCTGTGGCGCAACGGTAGCGCGTCTGACTCCAGATCAGAAGGTTGCGTGTTCAAATCACGTCGGGGTCATTGGACTAATTTTGTGTGCAGTAACATAACTAGTGCTATAAAAAAATGTTTTACTGGACCTTAGTGCTCGTGGGCCCTGTGGCGCAAAGGTAGCACGTCTGACTCCAGATCAGAAGGTTGCGTGTTCAAATCACGTCGGGGTCATTGGGTTCATTTTGTGTGCACTAACTAGTGCTATTAGAGAAAATTGTTTTACTGGACCTTAGTGCCCGTTGGCCCTGTGGCGCAACGGTAGCGCGTCTGACTCCAGATCAGAAGGTTGCGTGTTCAAATCACGTCGGGGTCATTGGGCTATTTTTGTGTGCAGTAACATAACTAGTGCTATTAGAAAAATATGTTTTACTGGACCTTAGTGCCCGTGGGCCCTGTGGCGCAACGGTAGCGCGTCTGACTCTAGATCAGAAGGTTGCGTGTTCAAATCACGTCGGGGTCGTTGGGCTATTTTTGTGTGCAGTAACATAACTAGTGCTATTAGAAAAATATGTTTTACTGAACCTTAGTGCCCGTGGGCCCTGTGGCGCAACGGTAGCGCGTCTGACTCCAGATCAGAAGGTTGCGTGTTCAAATCACGTCGGGGTCATTGGGTTCATTTTGTGTGCACTAACTAGTGCTATCAGAAAAAATTGTTTAACTAGGCCGTAGTGCTCGTGGACCCTGTGGCGCAACGGTAGCGCGTCTGACTCCAGATCAGAAGGTTGCGTGTTCAAATCACGTCGGGGTCATTGGACTATTTTTGTGTGCACTAACTAGTGCTATTAGAGAAAATGTTTTACTGGACCTTAGTGCTCGTGGGCCCTGTGGCGCAACGGTAGCGCGTCTGACTCCAGATCAGAAGGTTGCGTGTTCAAATCACGTCGGGGTCATTGGGTTCATTTTGTGTGCACTAACTAGTGCTATTAGAAAAAATTGTTTTACTGGACCTTAATGCCCGTGGGCCCTGTGGCGCAACGGTTAGCGCGTCTGACCAGATCAGAAGGTTGCGTGTTCAAATCACGTCGGGGTCATTGGGTTCATTTTGTGTGCACAACCTGTGGCAATTAGAGAAAATTGTTTTACTGGACCTTAGTGCCCGTGGGCCCTGTGGCGCAACGGTAGCGCGTCTGACTCCAGATCAGAAGGTTGCGTGTTCAAATCACGTCGGGGTCATTGGACTATTTTTGTGTGCAGTAACATAACTAGTGCTATTAGAAAAATATGTTTTACTGGACCTTAGTGCCCGTGGGCCCTGTGGCGCAACGGTAGCGCGTCTGACTCCAGATCAGAAGGTTGCGTGTTCAAATCACGTCGGGGTCATGGGACTATTTTGTGTGCAGTAACATAACTAGTGCTATTAGAAAAATATGTTTTACTGGACCTTAGTGCCCGTGGGCCCTGTGGCGCAACGGTATTAGCGCGTCTGACTCCAGATCAGAAGGTTGCGTGTTCAAATCACGTCGGGGTCATTGGACTTATTTTGTGTGCACTAACTAGTGCTATTAGAAAAATATGTTTTACTGGACCTTAGTGCCGTGGGCCCTGTGGCGCAACGGTAGCGCGTCTGACTCCAGATCAGAAGGTTGCGTGTTCAAATCACGTCGTGGGATTGGACTATTTTTGGGTGCACTAACTAGTGCTATTAGAAAAGTTGCGTGTTCAAATCACGTCGGGGTCATTGGACTATTTTTGTGTGCAGTAACATAACTAGTGCTATTAGAAAATATGTTTTACTGGACCTTAGTGCCCGTGGGCCCTGTGGCGCAACGGTAGCGTCTGACTCCAGAAGAAGGTTGCGTGTTCAAATCACGTCGGGGTCATTGGGTTCATTTTGTGTGCAGTAACAAACTAGTGCTATTAGAAAAATATGTTTTACTGGACCTTAGTGCCCGTGGGCCCTGTGGCGCAACGGTAGCGCGTCTGACTCCAGATCAGAAGGTTGCGTGTTCAAATCACGTCGGGGTCATTGGGCTATTTTTTGTGTGCACTAACTAGTGCTATTAGAAAAATAGTTTTACTGGACCTTAGTGCCCGTGGGCCTGTGTGGCGCAACGGTAGCGCGTCTGACTCCAGATCAGAAGGTTGCGTGTTCAAATCACGTCGGGGTCATTGGACTATTTTGTGTGCACTAACTAGTGCTATTAGAAAAATTGTTTACTGGACCTTAGTGCCCGTGGGCCCTGTGGCGCAACGGTAGCGCGTCTGACTCCAGATCAGAAGGTTGCGTGTTCAAATCACGTCGGGGTCATTGGACTATTTTTGTGTGCAGTAACTAACTAGTGCTATTAGAAAAATATGTTTACTGGACCTTAGTGCCGTGGGCCCTGTGGCGCAACGGTAGCGCGTCTGACTCCAGATCAGAAGGTTGCGTGTTCAAATCACGTCGGGGTCATTGGACTATTTTTGTGTGTAATAACTAGTGCTATTAGAAAAATATGTTTTACTGGACCTTAGTGCCCGTGGGCCTGTGGCGCAACGGTAGCGCGTCTGACTCCAGATCAGAAGGTGCGTGTTCAAATCACGTCGGGGTCATTGGGACTATTTTTGTGTGCAGTAACATAACTAGTGCTATTAGAAAATATGTTTTACTGGACCTTAGTGCCCGTGGGCCCTGTGGCGCAACGGTAGCGCGTCTGACTCCAGATCAGAAGGTTGCGTGTTCAAATCACGTCGGGGTCATTGGACTATTTTGTGTGCAGTAACATAACTAGTGCTATTAGAAAAATATGTTTTACTGGACCTTAGTGCCGTGGGCCCTGTGGCGCAACGGTAGCGCGTCTGACTCCAGATCAGAAGGTTGCGTGTTCAAATCACGTCGGGGTCATTGGTCTATTTTGTGTGCACTAACTAGTGCTATTAGAAAAATATGTTTTACTGGACCTTAGTGCTCGTGGGCCCTGTGGCGCAACGGTAGCGCGTCTGACTCCAGATCAGAAGGTTGCGTGTTCAAATCACGTCGGGGTCATTGGACTATTTTTGGGCAGTAACATAACTGTGCTATTAGAAAAATATGTTTACTGGACCTTAGTACCGTGGGCCTGTGGCGCAACGGTAGCGCGTCTGACTCCAGATCAGAAGGTTGCGTGTTCAAATCACGTCGGGGTCATTGGACTATTTTGTGTGCAGTAACATAACTAGTGTATTAGAAAAAATGTTTTACTGGACCTTAGTGCCCGTGGGCCCTGTGGCGCAACGGTAGCGCGTTTGACTCCAGATCAGAAGGTTGCGTGTTCAAATCACGTCGGGGTCATTGGGTTATTTTGTGTGCACTAACTAGTGCTATTAGAGAAAATTGTTTTTACTGGACCTTAGTGCCCGTGGGCCCTGTGGCGCAACGGTAGCGCGTCTGACTCCAGATCAGAAGGTTGCGTGTTCAAATCACGTCGGGGTCATTGGGTATTTGTGTGCAGTAACATAACTAGTGCTATTAGAAAAATATGTTTTACTGGACCTTAGTGCCGTGGGCCCTGTGGCGCAACGGTAGCGCGTCTGACTCCAGATCAGAAGGTTGCGTGTTCAAATCACGTCGGGGTCATTGGACTATTTTTGTGTGCAGTAACATAACTAGTGCTATTAGAAAATATGTTTACTGAACCTTAGTGCTCGTGGGCCCTGTGGCGCAACGGTTAGCGCGTCTGACTCCAGATCAGAAGGTTGCGTGTTCAAATCACGTCGGGGTCATTGGGTTCATTTGTGTGCACTAACTAGTGCTATTAGAAAAATTGTTTTACTGGACCTTAGTGCTCGTGGGCCCTGTGGCGCAACGGTAGCGCGTCTGACTCCAGATCAGAAGGTTGCGTGTTCAAATCA